GCAAGCAGAAAAGCGAGCGTAAGCGAGCATTTGATGCTTGTTTCTAATGAGAAGATAATGAACATTTTTCAAGTGTAAGAGACCTACACTGAATAGATCAGTATTAATATATAGATCTTATATAACAAAAGTGGAAAACATTAGAGAAGGAAAAAAGAGAAAGTGCAGGAATCAGTGATCAGAGTGGATATTTATACATGTACACAGTGGAGCTTCAGGGCAGAAAAATAGGAATTCTGGAGTGGAAGAATAGGAATTCTGTGGGTTTTTCGGCCGAGGATCGGCGACCGAGAAATCGGAGCTTTCGGCAGGAATCTATGGAGTGCAATGGAATAGTCTATATGATTGATCGGGCGCAGCCCGCCACACAATCATATCACATAATGAGGTCTGCAAGATCTCATCTTCTATTCTAATCGGGTTTTGAAAGCATCTAACATATTGCTTCACCTTCACTTCACAAATTAAATTATTAAAATATTGAAATATATATATTAAACGTAAACAGTTTGAAATAAAGAAGTAGAAGATTAAAGATCTTTATAACTTATTTTGAAACTGTTATATTTTTTCAGTTGTTTTTATATCTATACTTGATTTGAAGATGATATTTATATTTAGTATGACTTAGTTTATATGCCTACAGCATAGGGAAGTTAAAATAGAAACCCCTGCTACTCCCCTCTTCAAATACAAAAGAAAAACCGAGGCGGGAACCATCGCGGGAAGAATTCACTGGAACTTGTTTTAAGGGCTATAAACGGGACTGAGTTACGGTAAATGGTCAGAGAAAAGTGGCCGTCAAGTTTGCGATTCTGAGATACGCATAATGCACGGCTAGAATAATAAATTCCCTTCCCTCAATTTCTGATACGTATGGTATCTATGATATCAACCATGCGATAAAATCAGGGTAATCGATGAAACAATTCGTAAGGATTATGAGCCCCTGATTTTGTTATTTTCCAAGCTCCCCAAGCATGATATTTCGATCGGAGGAGCCAGAAACAACTGCAGCAGGAAAATGTATATTAGCAGACCGCCGGGTCCCTTTGATGACAAAAGAAAAAAAAAAAAAGGGGGGGGGGGGGGGGAATTTGTTCGACATATCAAATTCACTGTGTTGGACTTACTTATAGGCTCATCACGAGGCGAAAATCGTACATCATTCACGGTACCTTTATGGCCGGGCAGCTTATACAGCAACTTGCCAGACTTCACATCCCACACAACAACACTTCTATCACCGCTGCCAGCCGCAATCCTCTCCCTGTCGGATTCCAACTAGCCCGGATCAGATTCTTCTCCAACCCAATCGGCGCGCCATCATATGTCTTGATATGTCTATTCACGGGCGCCGCAGGCGGGATATCCCACGTGCGCACGGTCGAATCATGAGAATTGGAGAGCAGCGTCTGAGAATCCGGCGCGATATTCAGCGACGAAATCGTATCCGTGTGACCCACCATGGAGTATATGATGGAGGGTTTTCGTATGTCCCAAACATGAATGTCATTATCGATGCCGCCGCTGTATATCTCGTTGCTGGCGTCTGCCAGCGCGACGGCCGTGACGGGCATCTCAGACTCTAGGAAGTGAACGGCTTCCCTTTGCCGCAGGTCCCATACTCCCACACACCCGTCGTCGCTGCCGCTTATTAGCAGGTCCAGGCCCCTCCTGCAGACGTCGAGGCAATTGATGATATTCTCGTGTCCCTTGAATTGGCGTATTCTTTGGCCTGATTTGGCATCCCACCTGGCAAGGGTCACGTCTGCGGAGGCCGAGAAAATGTTTTCTGAATCTCGCGACCACTGTAGATCTAGAACTGCGCCCTTGTGTCCGGTTAATACGCCGTAGTTTTCGCATTGTCCGTACGTTCGCCATAACACTGTAATGCCCCTCCCCGGGAAGGTCCATAGTTAGTCCTCTCCGTTATACAATCGAACTAAACATTGGCGAATACTGCGAGAGAGAGAGAGAGAGAGTAACGTACTTATCGACCTATCCATTGAACCCGACGCAATATTCTGACCAGTCGGATCAAACCTCGTAGCAAAAATCTCTCCAGAGTGTCCTATCCAAGACACCAAATGTCACTACCATAAACTGGCATTGAAATATAACCATGCTCGGCCTCCCCTACCACCTCAGAAACGCACCTGTAAGTTCCATGATCG